TTATTTATGATAGGATATGGTAATAAGAATAAAATTGAAGAACAATATAAAGAATTTGATGAATTTAATCAAAATATAATAGAAACAATAGAATTGTATATTGCACAAATTGAAGAGTTACGTGGGGGAATGGAAGAAGTAGCTAAAGTTTTAGCAGATATAACAAAAAGACTTACTGCCATTGAAAATCGTCTTAATGAATATGATCAAGTTTCAAAAGAAAATAAAAATAAAGATAGAAAAGGAAAAGACATAGAAACGAGAGAAGAAACAAATGACCCAAATGTATTAAAAAAATTAGACAATATATTTAAGGGATTAGTTGATCTAGTTAATACTGTAAAAGGGTTAGGAAATAGAGTCCATGGTATAAGTGGATGTTTGAACTGTATATAGTTTGAAAATCAAGACAGACATTATTCAAAAACTAATTAAGGAAGTGTATAAGGTTTCATGTAATTTTTTGCTCTAAAAATTAGTTTTAATATTAGTGGATACGGATATTTATCTACTATTAATTTTCTATTTAAATTTTTTCTATCCAAATTTTAATGTACAGTTCTCTAATTTATATCTTCTCGATGGATTAGTATTCCTTTTCAACAACTTTTTACTCAGATTGGTTAAAAAGAAATGGGTGGGAACATGACCATCAGTTGTTTTAAGTAATACTAAGGCAATGATGAGTCAGACTATTGTGTTATTAATTTAGCCATAGTCAGTTGTATTAAATGTACTTGTAGTTTTTATAAATTTGTTTAATTTTTATTAATTGCAAAATAAATTGTTTAATAAAGCATGACTCCGTTGGAATTAAAAAAAAAAAAAAAAAGTAAAAAGAAATTGAAAAGTTTCAAACTAAAAAGTTAATAATCACATATATCAAATTATTGGAAAAACATTAATACGAAAAAAGACAACATAATTAAAAATATTATATTTCAAGTACATCAGAAAATTTAATTAGGTGTAGATTTATGTAAATATCATATGACCTCCAGAAATTTATACCTGAAAATTTTGATTTTTTAACTTTGGCCAAGATTTAGGTAACAGGGAGTAATTTTCTACTAAGATATTTTTAAGATAGATCGAAAGCTCTGGTTTTTGACTACAAGATAATATATGTTTCATTACTATAACATTAATATTCGCGGAGAAATTCACGTTTAAATTCAAATACCCGTGAAAATTTATGTCATAATTTTTCCATAAATTTTTGTAATTCTGCTGGAAATTTTTATTATGTCACAAAAATTTCCAGCAGAATTATGAAAATTTACAGAAAAATTATGACATAAATTTTCACGGGTATTTGAATTTAAACGTGAATTTCTCCGCGAATATCAATGCTATAGTAATGAAACATATATTATCTTGTAGCCAAAAACTAGGACTTTCGATCTATCTTAGAAATATTTTAATAGAAAATCATTCCCTGTCACCTAAATCTTAGCTGAAGTTAAAAAATCAAATTTTTCAGGTATAAATTTCTAGAGGTCATGTAATATTTTCATAAATCTACATCTAATTAAATTTTCTAATGTACTGTTGTTAAACAAAAAGACTATTGTAGCCTCTGTCATACTCTACTGTTACAACTTGCAAAATATTTCAAACCTTTTGAATTTGATACGCTAATTATTCTGCTAAATTCTATTCAAGTAAAACTATCAAATATACTGACCAATTAGTTCAAGAGCTTTGGAAAGAAGAATATACAAATATACTTACTACCACGACAAATTTAATTTTTAGCATAGTATATTTTAAAATTTCTGAAAAATTTCAAAAAGTTAGAGATTCTATTATAGGCCATTTCCAGAAATAAATTAATAAATATAAGTGATTACAAGTAAATCCAATATACCCACTTCTATCCCCTTTACATTTACAAACACACTTCAACCCCTTATAAGTACTCCCAGAATCACACTACTTTCAACTTCTTTAAATATTATTAAATCAAATATGGCTATGACACAAAAGCAACTAAAAGAATTTCTTAAAAAAGTAAAGAAGAGTTTAAAGAAACTAACTAATAAATAAAATCTAAAGCGCATATATTTTCAATAGAACCGTTCTATGGAAAAGTTACTGAAGATCTTACTGAATAGCTTGTTAACTTTAACAGAGCTGTCAGTACAAATAACTAACTCAGTAATAGAAAATTACAAATAGCTACTACTTATCTCAAGGGAGTTACTACACAGTAATATGATGATACCACTGCTCATATCAATTATTGGAATAACAATACTAATGCTGATAGATCTTTTGAACCCTTTTTCACTAAACATTTTACAACACTAGAAAATAAAAATAAATAATATTATGAATTACATAATATCAGAGTAGATAAATATTTCACAAGGTTTAAATGCCTATTGGCCAAAGTAGACCCTATCAAAGTACTACCAGAGAAATATACTATGCTGTATATTTCTGGTCTAGAGGAAGAAATATTATATTAGTTACTTTAGATAATACTAATATTTTAGCTGACATCATAAAAAATGTAACTAAAATTGAAGCAAGAAGATACTGTACTAAGAAAAGAGAAAATAGAAATATACCTGTTAGTCAAAATATAAAAACTGAACTTGATGTAATTACTTAACAATTATAACAAATGTCCTTTAATTACATCACCCTTATCTCTACACTTGTTACTCAAGAAATCTCCAAGATATAAAAGAAAAAATTATATGATTATATTGTTTGATTTAGAAAAAGAATGCAGAAATATCAATACAGTACAATGAAATTAATGGAGGGAATCACAATTAGGATGGTCCTTATGATAACACCTCTTTGTTTCATTTGTAATTTAGATTTACATAAAGCAAAAGAATGTAATATAAATAAATATCGTAAACAGTTAATTTTTAATAAGAAGAAAAAATCAAATAATTTGATAATTTGTACAAAAAATATAAACCAAATTATTATTTCAATCTAATAAAAATTACTTCAAACCAAAACACTTATGTAGATATAGTTAAGAAGAAAGTTAATGATGTTGAAAAAGATACTAATAAGAATAAAATTGAAAAACAATATAAAGAATTTGATGAATTTAATTAAAATGTAATAGAAACAATAGAATTGTATACTGTACAAATTAAAGAATTGTGTTGAGAAATGAAAAAAGTAGCTAAAGTTCTGGCAGATATAATAAAAAGACTTACTGCCATTGAAAATTGCCTTGATGAATATGATCAAGTTTTGAAAGAAAAAAATAAAAATAGAAAAGAAAAAGACATAGAAATGAGAGAAGAAACAAATAATCCAAATGTATTAAAAATATTAGACAGTATATCTAAAGGATTAGTTGATCTGGCTAATACTGTAAAAGAGTTAGGAACTAGAGTTCATGTATAAGTGGATGTTTGGACCGTATACAGTCTGGAAACCAAGACAGATATTATTCAAAAATTAATTGAGGAGGTGCATAGGGTTTTATGTAATTTCTTGCTCTAAAAATTAGTTTTAATATTAGTGGATATGGATATTTATTTACTATTAATTTTTTATTTAAATATTTTATTTTTGTACAAATTTTAATATATAGTTTTCTAATCTATAGCTCCTCGATGGGTTAATATTTATTCTAGTAACTTTTTACTCAAATTGATTAAAAAAGGATAGGTGGGAACATGACCATCAGTTGCTTTAGGTAATACTAAAGTAATGATGAGTCAGGTGGTTGTGTTATTAATTTAACTATAGCTAGTTGTATTAAATGTACTTGTAGTTTCTTATAAATTTGTTTAATTTTTATCAACTGCAAAATAAATTGTTTAATAAAGTATAACTCCATTGGAATTTTTTTTTAAAAAAAAAAAATTAATAATGTCAAAAATAATATGTAAGATAAATATTTACAGAATCAAAATGAAATTAATAATCTTTTATTAGATATAGATATTCCACTAGAATTTGATGACAATAATATAACTACTGAAGAATTATTAACAGATAGTTAAATAATTGAAATAGTATTGGAAGAAAATAATTTAGCATTACAAAATTCTAATAATGAATCTGATAATAAGAAAACATTTACTGTTAGTATGAAAGAAGATCTTATATCTTTAAAAAAATAGATAAATTTTTTTGAACAACAAAATACAGATAATTTTTGTTTTGAAGATTTAATCAAGTTTAAAAAATATATACAAATTGTTGAAAAAATGAAATTTGCAAGCAAAAAACAAACAAAATTAGATAGTATTTTTTCTACAGATATGAGTTTTAAAATGATTGAAATAGATACTTTAAATTCTAATTATGAAATGAATAAAAATTTTGAAATAACTAAAGTAGATACTTTAGATTCTTATTTTGAAATAAATGAAAATTTTGAATTGGAAGATAATATGTAATATAAAATTTAATAAAAGTTATATATAAAAATTTATAATCACTAGTGATATATTTTTTATATAATGTGATTATACATGGGTTTTTTGTATAATATCACATTTACTTATAATCATCATAGGTTTAACTGTATTTAAAAACATCTCAGTATCATGCATTTAAATTAGCATAAGACAAGAAAGAAAAGTGTTTATATATTGTTTCATATATTATACCTTTTTCTTCTAGAAATTTTAAAATTTGATAACACAATCTTGTGAAAGATAATTATTAGTCTTTTTGATTTGTGGGGGTTCAGAAATTTCAGATATTATTCAGGAATCAAGTTCAGTTTTTTTCTTGTATCTTTTATATAACTTGGAACAGATTTTATCTGTTAAAATATCAAATATTTAGAGATTAGAGTGTTCTAATTTATAGAGATTTTATTGGGCTTAGTTTACAAGTTTAACATATTCATATTGTTATTTTATAAGATCACATTCATTTAAATTTCTATATTGGATACTGTTTACAAAATAATGATACTTATATGCATAAAAAATATTAGAAGCTCCACTTTTTACATTAATCTTTATTGCATAAGAATACACAAACAGATAAAATTTATACAATTAGTTCAATATAACAGTGTTAATTTCAGATACTTCACATTTAATATAATAAGATCCATCTTTATATTTAGCTTCTATACCTTCTTCATCCTCATGGCTTAACTTGTATATTGGGTATAAAGATTCATCAGTAATTCCATAATAATTAACATTTTCATTGCTACATTCATAATATATATTAGAATATTACTCCAATGTTTTGTTGCAAAAATAACTATAGGTATATACTAGATTATTTTGCTTTTCAGGAGTCTTCTTGAGCTGAGGTGTAGATAGTATACTTGTCTCAACCTTCGACAAATCACCTGGACCTGAAAAATTAGTTAAAGGGAATAGGTAATATAGCTGAAACACTTACCTCTATATTAATCTGATCATGATATTTTGTCATGGTTTTTGAAGTCACCTGATTTATGATATGTTGAATTTCAATTCTGAAATAGTACTTGCACTATATGTAATATATTTGATTTTATCTATACTTACTCCTCCTTCATCAAATAGCTTAAGAATTTTTTGAGCTTTTTCAGTTTTCTTATGCAAATTTACATTGGTAATCTTAGGCAGAAAAGGTTTCAACTTCTTAAATATTTTTGATCTTGTTGTTTTATCTTTAATCTTGCCATCTGCTATAAAACTTTTAACCTTATTTTCAAATTCTAGAGAATAATAATACCAATATAAAATTTGTTTCTGATCTGATTTAATTGCTTTATCAAATAAGTCTGATAAACTTTGTACAGAGTCCAGAACTATATCCTGTATACCACTAACATTTATCTCACCATTGTTTCCATTAATTGAAGATAAAGGATTGATTTCAGGGACAATACTTTGTTTGTGATTATAAGTTATCTCTTGTATTAAACCTTCTACAATTTGATTATGAGATTCAAGTATTTCAGAAGTGGTACCAGAATTGTCAAGGACATTATTTTGATCATGACATTTTGTCATGGTTTTTGATTCATATGATGTAGATGTCATTGTCTTTTCAGATTCCACTAAAGAAATGGTTTGATTAACTAAAGATAAGTCTGAATTTTGATCCTGAAGCTTCTCTCCCTAATGCTCTGGATTATCTCTTTACTAACCTGTTCCTTATACATTGAATCCAGAAATTCATTTTCTTCTTTCTCTTCCAATGATATGGTTTCTACAGGGATAGAAGATGTGGAGGTCTCTAATTCCTGTTGTGTATCGGAATTACCGGAGGCAGTCACAAAGTGGTTAGAATTTGAAGTGTTATCGGATATATCAGATGCCGACACATCCTCAGTTTGTAAGACTATCTGTTCGCGTGTATCGTTAGAATTTTCCGTTTCGGTAGATGTGATATTAACTGAAGATTGCTTGATTTCCCTAATATCATCATCTGATTTAACAATAAAGTTGCTCTTTTCATCATTTTGCAACTGCCTCTGTTCCAATTTCGCAACTCTAGCTTCAAGTTCAGAGTTTTCGACCTTGAGGTTAGTAGTATCTTTTTTGAGTTTTGCATGTTCAGCTTCGTGCCTAGAACTATCCTTAATAATTTGCCTTAGCTTTGTACACTCAGCCTCAATTTCAGTATATTTCTTTTTAATTTCGGTATTCTCAGCTACAAGCTTAGAAATCTGTTCTAATAAATTGATTTTAGATTGTGTATTTGCCATTGTTTTATATAAAATTCAGATTTATTCAAAAGTTTAATCACATGAAAAATATCGGTGTGAAAAATTGCGCTAATGCGCCTTCGCTTTATTGATTGAAATAAAAATCGAAAAGAATTAAATAACTTTGTAGGTGCTTTAAAATAAAAATTATTTACAGTTGATTCCACTGTCACAGCCGAAAAATAAAATGATCTCTGATTTTTGATCTAATCGAATTCAATTCACAGATATCAACTAAACTATTTGGTCTCGCTTTAAAGAAATCTTCGATAGGGCCACGATCGAAGAATGCGCGTTCGTGAACTTGAAGGCTATAATAGAAGTAGCCCAAACCTGGATCTAATCAATTATTTTTTTTTTTCGCGTTGTTCGAATACGTTACCCGTGATCGTTACATGTGAGCAAGGCAGGCATCGCAAATGAGTTAAAAAAAATCATTCAACTATTGAACGCGAAGTCAACGCCTAACGCGATCGCGATATATTAGTTTGTATAAATAGTATAAATTTGTACAATGTTATAATTTCTGTGATTTATTATTTAGTATGAAATGCAAAGAGTCTTTTTTTCAACAACGAACTATTCTTAATGTATAAATACATGCGGTTTCGTTAAAGTAGCAACAACTATTGAGTGATTAAAGACCGCACACTATATCAACCAAAATAAATGAAATGCAATATTTCTGATAATTTTTGCTAGTACTTTTCATTTCTGTCTTAACTATGACGGAAAAATGGAAATCTGCGTAATTAATTATTTTTACCTATAAACCGAGAAACTGGAAAAACGGCGTATGGCAAAATCGATTACTGCAAAAACATCAATCAACTGAACTTGATGTTTCCTCAAACTCTACATCCAATGCCTCAAAAACTGCAAAGTAAGGGGAAGCAATTGCGTATCTAGAATTTCCTGCCATCCACGATGCATGAAGAATACCAAGGGCTTCTCCTTTTTGATCTATAACACTTGCTCCTGAGTCTCCGGTTTCAAAGTCTCCAGGTCTGAAAAAAAAAACTAATTGTCGATCAAACCACACAGTAGGGTAACATTTCTGATAATTTTGGAACAACGGTGCCTTCATGTATCCAATGAAGCATTCTTTATCTTTGATATTATTATGTGGTGAGATTTCGCCTTGCTCATTTGCAAATTTGATGCTTTCGTTTGTTAGACCAATGGAAATAGCGGTACTAATAGGAACCAATTTTCCACGAGAAAGACCTGTAGACTTTCCTACTTTAAAGACTTCCATCTCATCAATGTCATCAAGCTCTTCATATGTATAAAAACCATTCAGACAGGTGTTTTCAGGAAGTTTTACACTTTTGAAGCACTTTGGGGGAACTGAAAATTTATTCGGACATAACGTACGATTTTTGTTTGAGATACGAAATGCAACGTCAATACCAAAGTTCTTTTGATGTGCTTTAGAGAAGAAGTTGCTTCGCATGCCACGCTCATAGCAAGCTAGGGCCGAATCCTGTATGTCCTTATCAATTTGACTATGCATATTTTCATATATTTTTTTGTATGCTTCATTCTCATTTGCCATTTCATCCAATGACTGTTTCAGTTCATCTAGATCTTTATGCGAAGGCTGATAGATTGTGACACCCGTTCCACCGCTCAATTCACTAAACCTGCATATATGTTCACATGAGAGGATACCTATTTGTTTTGAATCCTTTTTGTCGTGCACAACAGCACCAAGAGTTCCACAAGTTCTCTGCGGTTCTATTACACCTATACTCGATCCCAACTTAACATTCTTCTGATAAGTTTGACAAACACTCGCACTATAACCATAGGGAGTAGCAACACAAGCTTCGACAACATCTACCGGATATCCACAAATCTTATCCGGGAATAAGGAACAACCACGGCGTAGAATGCCTTTCTGGCGAACATACAGTATGATAGCAGGTTTTTCAGTAAATTTACCTTTAGTTCGCTTATATCCAGTGCTCATACCGACCAGATTATAATGTGCTTCGCGGAATGGTGGACCCAGTTCATTGTTTAAGGCTTCATCAAAAGCCTTCTGTAAATCTCGTGGGACCTTTTTCCAGGTTGGAAGAGGAACGTGGGCACTTTGTGGTGGAATCTCAGCGTTGAAAACCCCTTTTTCTTCTGGTATAAAGTGAATTACTTGACCTACTGTGACCTCTTTATATTCACATAAGCTAAGATCGCGAGTAACCACGTAAACACTCCATGTTGTTTCACCAGTGAGAATGCTTCGGCCCCAAAATATGTCCACGACATCATCCCTCACGTATAGCTGGCAGAGGCGATTCTCGAGATCTTTATTCCAGGGAACTGTTTCGATTGTATTTGGAAGGTCCTCGAGTTTTCCTTCAGAGGCTATACTATCAACAATTTCTATTTGAATGTAATACATGGCAAAAATTAAGGCTTATTTCGATTAAAAAGAATGAGTAATATAAGATTACCTTCATCCTCTTCTTCACCTTGATCAAAATACAATTTATAGAGTTTTTCGCGAGCTTCCCAATAAGTCATACCATTAATCTTTAGGTTGTGAAAATCGTTGGGGCGAACTTTTTCTTTTAGTTTTAATTTCCTTACAGCTCGTATAAATTCTGGAAACGTATGATATTTGCCATCTTTTGTGTAAAGACAACCTTCTCGTAATGTCGCTTTATGAGTACAATCTTCGTATAGGTATTCTACAATGTCTCCTTCGGATAAAAGCCCCATATTACGAACAAGAGCAAATTTAAAAGGCGGTAGAGGTGGTTTGACAATAATGTGTATATGATCGCAGAGTGGTTCATCGGTGAAGTAACTACTAATCTTCCTCGTTCCTTCGCGAAGTCGATCGTTGTCATGGAGTATAAGATCATTGAACTCAACACTACTCTCACGAATCTGAACCTTCCATATTTTAAGCTTTTCTGAATCGACGCTATGAAACTCTGCACTTTTTTTCTCCTTAATAGCTTCCTTGAGTTGATTAATATTCTTATTTCTTTCAATTTCTATGGAAAAAGTCTCGTCGCTATTTTGAACAAAACAGTTTAGTGTAATTGTACCCATTTGTAATGATCAAAAAAGGACGAGATTTATGTGCATACTGCGCCCGGACACGCGTGTCCAGTTTTCCTAAAATTATCTTGTTTTATCATGCTTCTACATTATAAATAAAATATATATTTTCCATGCATATGTAACCTCACACGAAAAATAAATGATTTATGCAAAAAATCTCTATTAATAAATACATATATGATAAAAATATAGGATAAAAAATACATGATAAAATATATGATATCTATATATGAATAAAAATAAAAAATTAATCATATTTTGGGATGGATGTGAAACAGCCTGCTCCATTGCTTGTTTAAGCAAATTCTTATTCACAATTATAATATTTCTCAAGGTTAGTAGCAATCTTATTAAGGCTTTTGTACACCATCTTACCTCCAAAGTTAATGGAATTTCTGCATAATCTAGATGGAAGTATCTTGGTATTCCACTTGCATCATTAATAAGGACATTTAAATAAATTTTCTCACCAGCTACTTCTACTTGGATCCCAACTACACCAAATTGATTACAAATAGGTCTGTATGCAGAATTTATATAGCTACTTCCATCCAATAATTCTCATCATAATTTTATTTTATCATCCATTTTTTTAGTAGTGCTACAGACAATGTGAGAACTTTCTATATATAAAAACTCCTCCAATTTCCCATCACAATTTTCTAGAGCCATAATATCAGGTTTTTTTTTCCATTTTCACTTTACCTGTTTTATCATTTATATGTACCTTACTTGCTAAACTTTGATGTTCAACTAGGGTTATTAAGTGGAGCATAATGTTCTAGTATCAACCCAGTTTATATATCACTTCATCATGGAGTGAATTAAGATTTCTAGTTTTTTGTATTAACCCAGAGCAAAATATTTTATTATAACCTGGGTTATTATATAATTTGCTCTGGGTTACTCCAGGTTGTACCAGGTTGCTTCAAATTATTTTAGTAATTTTGATTGGTTAATCAATTAATAAAATAATAATCTATTAATTTTAATTTTTTTGTTTGCAAATTTTATTATAAATAAAAAACAAAAAATTTATGAAAATTTATATGAGACACTTTCAGATAGTGAGCCTGAACTATCAGGTGAATCATTATTAAATATAAATAGAGAAGAAAGTGAAATTAATTTAATTTTTAGTCAAGAGATAATGAAAGTTTAATTACTACTCCTACAACTATAACTATTATAACTATTACAAGTACAGCTATTACAAATACAACTAATGAAAATGAATGTAATTTATCAAATACCTCATGTGAAACTTTTTGGGTTTGGGAATTTTTTTCAAAAGAATATAATAATAAATAAGAAATTATTATATATATTTGTATAATATATAAAAATTGTTATAAACTATCTAATACTCCAGGTACACTTGCAAGACATCTAACTATAAAACACAATAGTAAAATTAGAAAAATACAAAGTATTTTAGATAAATTTGCACCTAAACCATATGCAAAATCAGAAAGTGATATTAACAACTTACAAATACAATTGTAGATTTTATTGTTTGTTGTCAACTTCTTTTTACTATTGTAGATAATCTATATTTTATTACAATGTTAAATATTTTTAATAAACATTATCAAGTATCATGTAAGCAAACTATTAAATCAGAAATAATGAACAATTATGATAATATGAAAAAAAATTTTACAAAAATTTTTACAAATAAAAAAATTATTAATTACATGTAATATTTGAAGTTCAATTATAATACAATCATATCTTGGTATTACAGTTTATTTTATAAATTACAATTAGAAATTACAACATTTTTACTTGATTCTTTATATTTTTCAAGATCACATTCAACAATTCAAATTTAACAATTAATTTTATAGGCTTTAGATGATACAAAAATTACTAAAAAATTATTGAGAATTATAATAGATAATGTACAATCTATAATTACAACAGCTAGAAAACTTAAAATAAAATTAGAAAATCAAGAATTTATTTATCAACGTTGTATTGTACATATTTTAAATCTGTAGTTCAATATGGATTACAATTATCAGATTTGATTATAAAAAAGGTTAGAGATTTTATAGTAAAAATTTGACAATTAACAAGATTTAGTAATTCAATAAGAACAATTTGTCAACTTGAAAAAGTTCTATAATTAAAATCAAATTTAAATATGAAAACTTGATGGAATAGTACTTATTTAATGTTAACCAAATTTTATCAAATGAGAAATATTTTAGATATTCTTGTTAAAAAAAAATTGAGAATTAGGAATTTTTTATATACAAAATAATAAATAGCAAAATATTGAAAATATAATTCAATTATTTAAACCAATATTTATAACAATAGAAATATTATCATCATCAATTTATCTAGTAATAAGTAATATACAATTAATTTTTATTGAATTACTTTGACATCTAGAATCTTTTATTCAAAATCAAAATAATCTAAAAGATTGTGCAATGACCAATTCAATTAGTTTTAAATTAAAAAAATATTGAAAAAATGTAGAAGAATTAATAACAATTGATATCTTATTAGATTTACAATCTATAACAAAAACATTTCAAGATTATAATAAATGTGATGAAATAATTTCATCATTACAAAACCTTATCCCACTATATAAAATTAATAATCAATTAAAAAATACTAGAATTAATATAGAATTACAAGAAAATAAAAGATTATATTTTGAATTTCTTCTTACTGATCAAACTCCTGAAGAAAGATCTACAGATAATGAAATAACTTGATATATATCAATACCTATTGATATTAATACTAATCCATTAGAATGGTGACAATATTTTAAAGAAGATTTTTCTATTCTTTCACAAATAACCTTATGTTATTTAAGTATTCAAAGTTCTAGTGTACCTTCAAAACAAGCTTTTTTTATAGTATCAAATATAATTACTAAGATTCTATGTAATTTGAAACCTGAAACTATATATACAGTTATATATTTAAAAAGTTGAATTCAACAAGTTCAAGATAAAAAGAAAGTGATAAATTTGAAAATTCTTTTTTTTTTGGAATGTTAATATTTTATAATATTATTTTTTTATTATTAAATATATTTAATATCTAATTTAATAATTTTGATCTTTTTTTTAATTATTTATTTCAAAATGGTAGTATATAAATTTATATTTAATAATAGATCTATATAATCAAGATTATAATATAATTAAAATAATAAATATTTATTTTTGTTTATTTTTTTAAATAATTATTTATGTGTAGTGTTTATAGTCATTTATGTTGTTAATTCTGATGGTCAAATTTTATTTATTATTATATTTTTATCTTATCTATTATATTATTATTTTAACATCATATATTTATTAGTTTAATTATATTTTATTAGTTTAATTTCATATTTTATTAGCTTAATTTCATATTTTATTAGTATATATTTATAGGAAACTATTAATATAAATCATTTAGAAATTGGTACAACTATTAAGTATTACAACTATAAATCTGAGTATAATCAATAATGTAATATACAGCATAATCAATAGTGTATTCAATAGTGTATTATACAATGTAATAAATAGTATAGTAGAAAGTGTAGTTAATAGTATATATATCAATATAATTAATAATGTATGCATTAGTGTAGTCTAAAGCAGAATCTATTATAACTTCAATTATACATATAAAGGACTGAATTTCTTTTTACTCAGTCCTTAATTTTAGAGTTAAAGTTTAGACAGTTAGTCCAGTTCAATTTCTATTAATAAAATACTTTGTGATTTACCTTATAAATAATAAATACTTGTGTGGATTATTATTTATACCATTGTAATTTCTTAGTGAAATTCTGTATTATTCTTTAGTAAAATACTGAAACTTTTGTTGAATTATATTTTGCTTTGTGATCTCAGTATACTGTTTTTGTGTTATAATTCTTTAGTATTAAGAATTATCATTTTAGTTTAGTTATATTTTATTCATTGTGAATAGTTTAGTTATATTCTTATAAAAAATCTCATAGTTTTGTCTCTTTCAAACAAATTTATAATATCTAAATCCTTCAAATATTATACTTTTTGTAGTATAAATTAATCAGTAGTAATATATTTTAGTTTAGCTATCATATCTTTAGCTAATAGTTAATTGTATCTTTTGAAAGTCAGATTATGGTCAACAACATAACGAAAAACTATATAAATAATACTAGTCGAAAATTGATAAAATATACACATATCGGATACCCGATATGTGCATGGTGTGTCCCTAATATCGGACATATATCGGGTACCCGATAAGTGTAGAAAATATTTTTTTACAC